GGTTAATTTGGTTAAATAATCGATTCATTGGTTCAAATAGTTAATTATTATTTACCCGGTTAAATTAACAACACTGAGCGTACCCTCTCTAAATGCATACAAATCCCTCCGATGCATACCTCTGCTTTGGCCCAAATAATATAAACAATCACAAATTTTAACCTTTCTAAATGTACACCCTTTCTAAGTGTATTTTTTGCTTTTTTTTTTTTTCTTTTGCTAGGTCTCCAGGGCGTGCACTTAGATCCAATTGTATTATCTTTTCATGATTCATGGTCAAAAATATTTATTATTCTATTATCCCTTACACGTCTCTCAGGTAAATGTGCCTGCAAATTTTTACGAATTACTCTACACGAAATAAGTTCTCGAATGATAAAATTAATTAATTTAATTCGCATTTTTAAAGCTCTCAAGATTTACAAGAACATGGAGTTATGTATTTACTTATTTAAATGCGCAAATTTGAGATTAACGACTTTTTCAAAAAAAAAAGGTACAATGAAGGAATTATCAAATGAATGTCTTTCTGAAATATTAAAAAATTTCATTACAGATCCTGGAAACTTATTTTCGTGCGTTCTCGTAAGCCATCAATGGTGTGAAATTGCAATACTATTATTGTGGAGTAATCCACTAAAGATTTGTAAAGATGAAGGACTTATAAACATTATAAGAATATATCTTTTTTCATTAAATGATGAAGAGCAATCGTTATTAATCCCTCTTAATATAAACCTTCCAACTGAACCAATTCCTTTATTTTTTTACACTTCTTTTACTCGATCTGTTGATAGCTTTAATCTGATATCTGGAATCAAGAATTGGCTCAATGAAGAAGGTTATATGAATAATCCTCGCTATTTTGATGATTACGCTGGTTTAAAATTAAATTATTTTAAACATGAAGATTATAAAACATTTATGTTTTCCTTGAATACAACTCATATTGTCAAATGGGCTTTGATTAAAATGTTGCTAAGAACGTGTAGGGATCTTGAATCTTTATCTGTTGAAGGAATTCTTCCTGACACATTATTAGAAATAATTTGTAGATACACTAATGTTACCAACTTGAAAATTTCTTATAATTACTTGAGTTATTATAATTTAAAAGCTCTTTTTGAGAATGATGCTTTAAGTTCATTAGATCTTTCGGATAATAAATTTTATTATGGATGGTCAAAAGCTTTAAGTCTTTGTAAAAATACCGAATTAACTGATTTGAAATTCGGTCATGATGAACTTGGTCCTGAAGAAGGGAAAATTTTTGCCGAAATTCTCTGTGAAAATCCCTTTCTAACTTCCTTGGATCTTAGTTCTAATCAAATTGGTTATTTAGGTGTAAAAGCACTATCAAAATCCCTTTATAGAAATATACCTTTGACCTCTTTAAACCTTTATAATAATTGGCTCAGTATAGGTTCTGCAAAAGAATTGGCCCAAGCCCTTTGTAATAATTACATTTTGAAATCTTTAAATCTTGGTTTGAATAACCTTGATTTTAATGGAGCGGAAGTTTTAGCGGATGCTCTTTGCAAAAATTCCACTTTAACTTTTTTAGGTCTTGATGGTAATAGACTTGGTCCTAAAGGAGGTGAAGCTCTTGCTGAAGCTCTTCGTAAAAATACTACTTTGAAATCTTTAAGTCTTCGCGCAAATAATTTTGGCCCTAGAGGAGGAATTGCTTTAGCAAATTCTCTTTTTAAAAATAACTCTTTAATATCTTTGGAACTTAGTGGTAATAACCTTAATTCTGAAGTAGGAAAAGAACTGGCGAGGGCTCTTTGTGAAAACTCTACTCTAATTTCCTTAGATCTTTGGTCAAACGATTTTGGTTCACAAGGTATAAGAGCTTTAGCAAAAGCGCTTTACAAAAATACCTCTCTAACCACTTTAAAACTTGGTTCTACCGGAATTCGTTTAGATGACATAGAGGAACTTGCAAAAGCTCTCCATAAAAATAATACTTTAAAAGTATTAGATCATCAATTTAATTATCTCGATTTTGAAGGTGGAAATATTCTTGTAGAAGGAAACAACAAATCGACCGTATTAAATCTTTATCATAATAAGTTTATGTCGCAAGAAGAAAAATTCAAAAAAGCTAAAAGAAATATTGTTACCTTTAAATTCAATATTTAGGCATGCTCTATACATTTCAATATTATCTAAATTGTGATAATACCAATAATACAGTACTGTTTGTAAACATATAAATGTGCAGAATAGAAGTGAAGCTTGAACTATTGGGAGTCGTAACTTGTTAATTAAAAATATGATAAATAGAAATGTAGTATTTAATACCTTGTATTGTTGGTCGTAATTTGTATTGTATGCCGTAGCTTATTATAACTAGCACCTAACATTATACTGTATGTAGATTAATCTCCGTAAATACACATTCTATAAGTGCACTTTTCCACATAAGATGCATTTATGGAAGATTGGCTATATTAGAATTAGAAAATTTGCCTTTATTTCGAAATAGCACACGGTGTATCTGAAATAACTGTAGGTAGACGTTATTTCGCGCTTACATAGTATTAAATTTAGCATTAGTCCGAGTTGAATCGAATCTAATATAGACGGTATATAAATCTATCTGTATATCAATCAATAAAAATGGTATACCATTGTTGTACGTTTTTGATATGAAAAGCCTTTTTTCGCAGGTATGTCCATGTCCTGTTCAAACATTCAACCGTATCTAAGTTCCTGCATTTTATATAAAATTAAAATTGGCTCATTTTAATAAATTTTAATCACAATTTATTTCTTGTTAGAGGTGAACGATTCTTACCAGATATTATTAAATCATCCAGGTTATCTGGGTAATTTTGTCAAAAATATCCGACGCTGTCTCATGACAATACTGCCAGCAATAGTCATAAAAAACCTTTATTATTAATTTTAAATTAGCACACGATCATATGCCATTCAAGTGGAAAAAATGATTGAAATCTCATTAGGAAATATCACTTATTATAAGATTAATTTTTACAGCAGCTTTTTCAAACTATCGAAGCAGGCTAAACTAGTAGGTATCTTTTTCACATTGATATTTGTTTATAATTATGTTATTAGTATAAATGTTAATTTTCCTAGAATAAATCTCCTCTTGTTTATTATCGATGTCCAATTATGGGAAATTCGCACAATAACTGATTGCAATGTTAATTTTAGAAAGGCTTTCATTTCTTTTTTTAAAAAAAATGAATGAATGAAATAAACAATAAATGTTTCTTCTTATTCAAATAATTATAATCTTTTAATAATGATATAGATACATTTTTGTTCTATGTAATTATTAATATTTACATTGATATTTATATCGACTTTTAGATTGATATATTGGCTTTTGCATTGATAATTCTTTTATTGTCGCATGCTTCATTTTTTTTATTCATTATGTTCGAATCGATTTTTACTGCTGTGTATTATATATTTTCTCAAAACTTATGAATTAGCAAGGATATAGCTTCGTTATTTGTAAAGACCTTTAACAAAATATTATTCTAGTATAATTTCGTTGAGAGAAGCAATTTCCAAACAAAACCCAACTCGTAAAAATAGAGGATGAACTAGTTATAAATGCAATTGTCTAACCTATAATTTTTCAAGAAGGCCAAGCTCATAATATTAATGAGTATCAGACAAATACTTCTTTAAGTAATCAAGAAAAAAGAAATTAAAAAAATATTAACTATATAAGATTAGTGTTATGAATAAAATATTTTTTAAGCCGAGACACTTGACAAGTTTCCTGCCGTTGCCGAAGAACAAATTACGGCATCATAACATGTTCTTGCAAACAAAGGGATCATTATGTTTAAGGAAATTCGAATGTATTCTACGCGGGGAATGCAAAAATTTTTAGTTACACCGTTAAATATAATATGAAAATTTGAATGTATTCATTTACAGCTGTTTTCCATATATCTATGTGGGAAATTGAGAATCGGGAAATTCTGATTAGTAAATATTGTATGTCCGATTAGTAGTATTGGCATTGAAAATTCTGGAAATCTGGAATCGTGAATTTCGGTGATCTGCGCCTGTCCACACCTTTTTGAAAACAGCGGTAATGTATCGGTATGAAATTTAGCTAGCATTTAACATTTAGGCGCATATAATAATTCATTTTTATTCGCTTATTTTTTTCGATCTTTTATTTTTTTGATTTTTTCTGATTTTTTTCGATTTTTTATTAATCGGTAAATGGATACCGATTTAAAACGCATATAACATTTCATGATTCACGAATGACATGTGTCAATTCGGAATCGATGTAAATTCAGGAATGACCCGAAACAATAACGTTATCCATTCTATTATTATTATGCTCCCGCATCATCTTCATTGAAATGAATATATCTTTTATAATTAAGGTTTCTCAGGTCAAATAATTAATGTCGTGCTAAGGCTGGAATTAGGGATCTCGATTTAAAAATATTGATCCTACTCGTACTTTTTTAAAAAGAAAGTACTCTAAAAATTTTAAAAATTTTATATTAAAATATTTAATATTTCCAACTTTAGCTACTTTGCCGCAACAATCATTACACATTAACAAATATAAATCTGGTTATTACAATTTGACTATTTTTTAGCTAAATGATTATTTATTTTATAATAAAGTATAAACTTGATCCAACTAATATTTTTTTAAAAAATATTTTTTAGACTTAGTAAACTTGAAGGCAGCATATTTATATATATAATCTAAACATTTTTGGTTATATAATTTTTAGTTTAAATTATTTTAATCATCAATGGTCATCCCTTCCTATTCATTGTCAATAATTGATTGTGGATGGATAGAATTTACTTCCTTTACTGATCATATATCAGCGTAAGATTTTTCGATGTTTTCAAGTTTTATCTCTGATTTGTTCAATTCCAGTAAGATATTTTCATCATCTTGCCATTCTTTAAAAATTTCACAGAGTTTTTCTGCCGATGGTCGATTTTTAGGTTCCTTGCTCCAACATTCTCTCATCAAGTTCACATAACACGATGTTGCTTCTTTATTAACAGGTGGCCGTAAATCTTCGTTGCATAATAGAAATTGAAGACGAATTTCACTTGATTTATCGATATAATAAGATACTGTTTCGCCATACAAGACTTCCCACATGATCATTCCGAACGAATAAATATCTGCAGCTTGAGAATAATTATGTCCATATAAAACTTGTGGATCAATATAAGGTAAAATTCCACAAATTTTTTTTCCTTCATTTTCTTCATTTGACGACATTGAAAGACCTAAGTTTGTAATGTATGCGCTATCGAGGGTATCTTGTAAAATGTTTCCACTATGCAAATCACGATGAATCATTTCTTGGGAATGAATTGCTTCAAGATCCGTAACAATACAATGAAGTAAATTAAGTTTTTTTCTCCATTCTAATTTTGACACAGAGGAAAGATTTTGACGTAAAGAACCTTCAGATGCATATTTCAAAACAATTATATATCTTCCATCTGGGTGTCTTGATATTCCATAGCATTGTAAAAATGAAGGATTTTTGTACCCGATTTCACAAAATCTTTTCAACTATTGAAAATAAATTACTAATTAGTTTAAGTTTTTAGAATGATAAATAAACTTCAATAATTTACCTCTTTCATATATTCATTATGTTTTTCAGAATAATTGAATATTTTGACAGCAACGTTTATTTTAACATTTTGTCCTTTATTAATCCAAAGAGCACAGTATACAGTTGCAAATCCACCTTCACCTATCTGCCTAATATTCTCGAATTCTTCATAGGAAATCCATGATAATTGATATTTTGCATCATTCAATATTTTTATCAAATTATCATCAAGATCAGGAGGATATGATGATTTAATTATTTCTTTAAAAATTTCTATTAAGTTAGTTCTGACTAGAAAATGAGTAAACAAAAAAGTGTACATACTTACTCTTTATACTTCTTTCTCTATTTGAATTTAAAAATTAATAAAGATCAATTGAAAAAAGTTTTATAATAAAATATTTATTTACTTTTTATACAAATAATTGGCACGTCGTATGTTTCTTGCAACTCCAATTCTGTTTCTATAACAAGTTGCAAGGTCACTTATTGCATTAACATAACCCATCTCAGCAGATTTCTCATAATATTCGATTGCCTTATTTTCATCTTTTTCAACTCCTATTCCACTTTGATAGCAATATCCAACTTGATATATTCCAGCAGTATTTCCCATTTCTGCAGATTTTTGATAATATTCGAATGCCTTCTGTTCATCTTTTCCAACTCCTATTCCATTTCGATAACAATCTCCAAGATCATATGTCGCAACATCATATCCCATCTCAGCAGATTTCTGATAATATTTGAATGCCCTATGTTCATCTTTTTCAACTCCTAGTCCATAAAAATAACAATGTCCAACATTATATATCCCAGCATCATTACCCATCTCCGCAGATTTCTGATAAAATTCGAATGCCTTCTGTTCATCTTTTTCAACCCCTATTCCATATTGACAGCAATATCCAAGATTATTTATCGCAATAGCATCACCCATCTCCGCAGATTTCTGATAATATTCGAATGCTTTCAGTTCATCTTTTTCAACTCCTATTCCATTTTGATAACAATATCCAACATAAATTATTGCAGTTGGATTATCCATCTTCGCAGATTTATGATAATATTCGAATGCTTTACGTTCATCTTTTTCAACTCCTGTTCCATTATGATAATTGTTTCCAAGACGAAGAAGCTGAGAACTTTCTTGGCTCATTTTAAAGAACACTTGTTCTCTAACGAAAGAGATGTGTGCACTATCTATATTTATAATCAGGTTTTGTTACACACGCACATTAGTCCCATATACGTTTTTTTACTCTTTTTATACAGATTAATTTAGTTTATTGTTACGTATTAACATTTATAAGCATTAACAAATTTTTCGCCAAGAGAGAGTTTTGGTAATGACTTTAGGAAAGTGATAGTGGAGGAAAATATTGAAAATTTAATCGTGAATTAATTTATGATAGTAATATAAAATAAAGTAGCTGCACTACGTCATCGCACAAAACCAGGAACGAAAAATATAATTTTAAAATTAACATTAGTATCCGAAATATTTTTAAAGAGATATGCTAATAAAAATATGTTTTTACTCATTGTTCCAGTTAATGCAATAAGAATCAAATTATATATTAGATAAAATTGAAGAATAGGATGGGCTGCGTCGGAAAAATGTAGAGTTTAAAAACAAATAATTCATTTAAAACTACACACTACTACCAATAAAACTACTCTATCGAACAATTATACTAATTTTGACTAAACTCTAATAGTGGTAAGACTTCGATCATGACGTGGAAAGATTTGGGTTAAGTAACTGGATTTAATTGGACTTTAGTAATAGTTTTTGACTTAGATAAATGTTGTATTATTTTCTCATTAATAAATTTATTATTGGTAGCACTTTCATTAATGCTTTTTCTTCTTTTCGTGTATACTGCGTCTGGCTCTAGTGTTCGAACTTAGGCAATCTGAATATAGTAGGAGATAGAGGCCTGCGTTGGGTCCCGCAGCCCGGCCCGGCCCGGGCCGGGCCTGAAGCAAAATTTTATAATTGCGGGCCGGGCCGGGCCGAAAAATTTGCAAAACTTTATAATTGCAGGCCAGTGCGGGCCTG